CTAACAACATATATATAATAATTCAAGATAAAGCACAACCACTGTTGCGTAATCCTGCATGTATGGTTGACTTGATCAGCTTAATTGAACTATTGGATAAATGTAAATGTGGTTTAACCCTCACTTGGCTTATGGATCCACATCCTTCTTCTTCGTCAGTATATCTGCTCAGCATAATTACTTATTACTGAGCTTCCAAACTCCATTCATTACACTCAATCTATTCACTAATCTATTCTTTTTATAGCCTCTTAGCTTGCTTCTTGAAGAAGAGTATCCTAATTAGAATACTCTTACCCTTAAGACTATTATATCTATATTTAAGCTTATGCCCAGTGTTTACCTACCTCTGATTTACGAGCACATCTGCCTTTACAAGCATTTCGTGTTCCGCTAATCTTTGGCGAATAGGCTAACAGATCTCACCAACACAAATTTGATCACATGAACACAAAAACGGATATCAGAAGGATCTCGTTAATGAGTGATTTTACTTCATATAACGGTGTATAAACATAGAAAATGTTAGGGTATATTTGAAAACAGTTTTGTTCTACATTTTATTCGTAGAAATTATATGTGACGGCCTGGTTAGGATAAAATATAAGATCTCTGTTTGTTTATTTCTGACTAAATGAACTCCGTCCAAAGAATTATTTTTGTTAAAGAGGCAGCATTTTAAAGCAAGCCCGAGGAATAAATAATTTTTGGAACAATAGCTTAAGTCAATCTAAATCTTTAATTAATTATATGTATTTGCATGCCTCATACTCCTACGAATCATTCAATTACTAATTCTAATCATAGATATATGATTATTGGTGGAGCAAATTCTGAAATTTCCAGGATAAGTTAATCACCCATAAATTACCTTCGCCCATTTTACCATATTTCTTAGTAACAAGAATATCAATAAAAGTATATTATTCTTTTTTGTTTATGAGAAGAGTTTCGAGATCACTTGGATGAAAACACCTTATGAGAGAGCAAGGATATGTGAAATTCAATGAAAACATGAGTCCTACTCATAGCATTAGGTGAATAAGTCTCATAAAGTATTTTCTTTCGCAATTTGAACTTGAACTTAATATTAAATTGAGGCTAACATAGTGAAAATATGAGACGATCACATCTATCCCTACAATACTACTAGATTATAAAATAGTCATCCATATATTTAGCTAACCAAGTAGGGATTAGTAGGGTCCTATCCATTAAGCACTCCCCAAATTTCGCCTCACAATTATTAAAAAAATCATTTCCAAGCATAGTCCCATGGCAAGTCCTTAGGTCTGTCTAAATAAGTTATCGTTAAAGGTTAAATAAGCATTATCCATGAATAGGTTTACACGTTATAAAGGCTCTAATTAACCCTATTATCTTTATTTTAGCTGAATGCTAATCCAGGATGAGCACTAGTGCCTGAACAGAAATTTCAGTTGATTTCGAAACTTACTGTCTTCGCAGTTATCTGTTATAGAATATTTTTCAAATTCGTAACTGGATATAGCCAAAATTCAAAGTTACACCAAAATATAGTTGTTAATCCTATGTAAAATTTTAGAATGGGGCGTTGGAGAGCAGATCAGTCTAAATTGATATATTTTTAAACTCTTATATTATAAGGATAGAGATAGAAGTTAGCAGTAATGCTTCTTCTAATAATTGTAAGCCCTTTAACCTTAAAAAGCAGCCCTTAAGATCAATGATTATTTAATTGATAAGAGAATAACCTAAAACATCTTAAGCACCGCAAGAATAATCAATAAAAAATAATTAATTTAAATTTTAAAAATACTAGTAAAAACGGTTACAATGTAACAACTTTTTTAACCGTATTTTAATAAATTTTACATTTTTTTTTATTATTTAAACATATTTATTGTTTAAATTTTTAACCAAAGCGCGGCGCTTTTGGTAATATGTCGTTTAAGGAGCGTGATTTACTCTATAGGCTTATTATTAGGTAGCTCTTTTGTTGTTTCTACTTCTAGTCAATTATTTTATGACGGGTACTCAACACAGGCCGTCAATTTAATAAATTTAGTGAGCCCATCCGCCTCTTGTGGTCCATCTAATAGACTTCTGAAATTGGTAAAAATTGGAATTGCAAACTGCGAAGGTAGGCTTCTATTTTGACCATAAAATGTTTTAGATGAACAAGAAAAGTCTACCGCATTAGAAGGAGAATGTATACCTCCAGGCTCTGGAATCGATATTGAGGTTGAAAGTGAAAGTACGTCAATGCAGTGCGCCTCTTAATTCATTAATGACCATTCACTCGTTTATATAGGCTTATCTAACACTTATTTGCAGGTTCTACTATTGCCCCTGAGGCTGCATTATATGAGACATGCTACGTGACAGCGCATAAAGCAGCTTGCCGAGCTGCAGCGTTCAATAGTACAGGTAATTGAGGCATCTTGATTTAAACGTATGAATTTGTAAAAACTAAGTCATTAATGAATTTTTAAAATTTTAGGACAACTGGTCGCTACTGGCTCTCATGATTCTTCAATAAAAGTTCATGAATAATAATTTTTACCACCTTATCTTCCACAATAGATTTAACTGTTCCATTCCTCATTTTTAGATTTTGGATGTCGAAAGAATGTTGGCTAAAAGTGTTTCTAGTGTTGATCATGGAGGCCAAGAGACCCCGCAGCAACAAATGGAGACACACCCCGTTATTAGGACTCTATATGACCATACTGCGGTACTTAAAGCAATTATCACTTATCATCGTATTATTTTATTTTATCTGTATAAATTTTCTTATTTTTATACGCGTAGTTTTTGATTTGTTGCTCATTTTTTACTAAGAAAATTCATGATATATCATTTACTATCTTAACATTTAACAAATCTT